AATATATGCAGTGTATTATTTGTTGAAACTGTACTTTCGATTTGATTTGAAACTGTCTCATTGCTATACGTTTATCAATAAAACTTTGAAAAGAAAAAAACAGAAAAAAAATAAATAAATTCAATTAAAAGAAAAAAGATGCAATTCAAAAACATTTAAAACAGACTTGGAAAAAAAGTGCAGTTACTATAGATATTCATGGCATATACACACCTGTCTGCATTCATATTAGACTGAGGATTTAGAGAGTTATCCAATTCATCCTCACTTTCTTCAGACTGGCTATTAATCGTTCCTTCTTCTCCTTCATCATCTACTTCATTAAGAGCCTAGCTCAATACAAGGAAATAAATAATACAAAGTTTATACACATAATCATCTCTCCTTTCTGTCATAATCAAGAGACTTCCCAAAGCCAATGCCTTCATACAGGCTCTAGAACCCAAAGCCTCTCACTTCCACCCACTCCACAAACTGACCTTTCTCTCTGCACCATCTTCAGCTTCCTCTCCCCCTCTCTATCCTCCTCATCCTCTACCCATACACCTCTCTCTGCTTCACAAATTTAAACATGAGCAAGTTGCTCCCATCTTGCCCTGACCTTATACCCATGTTTGAGCTACTCTTAAACATCCCAAACTTCTTCAACAAGTTGTTCCTACTTCTCAGTTATCACCCATGCGTTACAATTTTGCTTCTGCCCTACCACTCCACTCTACAAGGTCAAAGTCAATACATTTATTCTGTTTTTACTTTTCTTTACACTATTCTGACCTATTGTACCTTAATGACCACTAATTTTGTTCTTTTAAAACCTTCTTGATGCACTATTTACCATTTAACTTCCATGACATTATTATTTTCTTGGGTTTTTTCTTTTCTCGCTGTTTCTTCCCTACCTCCTGTATTGGATTTCTCTTTTCTTTTTTTATTCTTTTTTTTTTTTTTTTCCCTCTCTCTCTCTCTTCAGTTATGCAGCTTAGGCTGGTAGTTCAGCATGGCCATAAAGTAACTCTATAGTCTAGACTGGCCTCAAACGCACAGCAAGCCCCCTGCCTCAGCCTCCCAAGTGCTGGGATTATAGGTGTGCACTACCACACCTAACTGCTGGCTTTCTTTTTGCACCTTTCCCTTATATCTGATGGGATTCAAGGACCTCCCTTTGAGCTTTTCTATTCTCATCTGATCTACTCTTTGGATGATTTTATCTAAGTCCAAAGTTGTAATTTCAAGTCAAATGCTGTTAATTTCCAAATCTTTATCACTGCTCAGA